GCGTTTTTACAACTGATTTGGAAAGACTTTCCTGGATGCCCTAACATCGATTATTAATCGGTGCATGCCTAATCCCGATCAAGATATGCTTCCCCACGTTTTTATGAATGTAAGTGATATTAAGATTTAAAGGTTGGAATCCAGTGTACTGCGGAATCCAATATTATTGGTCCCAATATACTGAGTGACCAATATTATTGCTTCCAATAGATTGCGTGACCAATATTATTGGTTCCAATAGATTGGGTGAGCAATATTATTGGATCCGAATATTATTGGATACCCAATAGTATTGTACAATATCTCCAATAACGATTGGTATTGGTACATGCCTACATTTACCTGGTTTAGTGTTCTCGATAATCGGTTTCATACAACCACGTACACTTGACCAGCGGATATCGAATAAACGTTTAAATTTCAACTCGGGGAGATCAAGATAATTTTGCCATTTCTTTAATTTCTGTTGACGGGTCACACTTCGATTGAAATAATTGTGAATCCTACCAATAATATGTTCAAAATTAGCCAGTTCAGCTCTTGTTTTCAATTTTCTATCGACTAAATTAACCAAGAATACTTCATAATCACATATCTTGAAGATTATCCTTACCGTCTACATATTGTCCAGCATGACTACCAACAAGAGCAAACGAGTGTGCGGCACAAGTGTTTAATTCTAAGTAGTTAATCTTATACTTTTTTCGTAGTTGAGCAGCAACTCCCTCATGTACACCTAAAGGAAGAATGTGTTGTACTTCTTGCACTGGAAGTTGCTTTCCTTACCTGTAAAAGTTGAAGCATTGTCGGAAGCTATCCAACACGATTTGATCACATCAATTTCATCTTTTTCCCATAATTCACTAATATTATTAACAATATTCTCAGCTGTGCCATCTCCTTCCATATTCATGAGCCCATAAAACGATGTTTTTGATTCATAATTATCCAAGTAACGGACATCAACAATGCAACTTTTTTCGGTAGTTCTTGAGGTGGATTCGTCCATCATCCAACCTAGAGAGAAAAATGTTGATTTTATTGCCTGTTTCTCAATTTATGGTATATACTTACCAATAACGGGACTTGCTTTTATCTTCTCTACTAATTCTTTGTGTAAAATTCGAGCGACGTACTGAAGAAATAAGAGTGCTGCATCATTATTTCGATAACTAATACCTGCCACTTCTGCCGGCAGTAATTGAACACCCGTTTTTTCTAATAAATTACATAGCGGTTGTAGACTGTTCAGTGATTGATCCTGTTGACACAAATAAACAGACGAAAGCATTAAATTTTGAATAGATTCTTGATGCCGTGAAATAGTTTTTGCTTGTGTTGTAAGCCAATCCGGTTGACTTTTCAGTGAGAGTTCCAATTCTAGTACTTGAGCTTTATGATGTACGTCGTTGGAAGAATGTTTTTTTATATCATTTAATGCCGAGACAATGAAATCATGTGTTGCCCATGGATTATTTTTTCCATTGGAATTTTTTATCATTTGATATTTTTCGCATAGTCTACAGCCCAGTTTTATCGGACCATTTTCATCCTCTTTCTTGTGCAACCAACAAACAAATTTTTCTTGTTTTTGTCCGAGTAAATCATATGTGTACGTTCTATAAAATGATTCCGCAACTTTTTCCCATTGTACTGAATAATTTGTACGACGACTAGATCGTTGTGCTGTTGAAACTTTCAGTGCAGCTGATGTAACTGGAGTGGAAAAATTATTATTATTCTGATTAAATGGGACTGGTTGAGTTGTTGGTTCATTTTCACCAAACAAGTGTTCGACGTCTAATTGTTGTGGTTGTTGAGAAGAAGATATTGCTCTTGTATGTGTAGGCTTCAACAAAAATCTATCAATTGTTCCTGATTTCTTCAACCCTGACATTTTTTTAAATATTTTTTGCTTATCTGAAAATACAGTAAAAACAAATGAATGAATGAAGATTGGCTAAACAACGTAGATATATATAATATGAGCAAGGAGAGGAGAGCTTTACATTCTTCCTTACATTTCTTTCCTTTACATCTTCAGTTCATATTAATCGTCGCTTTTTTCTCTTTTTCTCTTCATCTCACCGATGAGTCACTGTGAAGTTTTACTGGAGAGTTGCACGACCAGTTAAAAAACAGATAAATTCAACCGCTCTCCTGTCTTTTCTGCGTTCTAAACAGCAGAATGACTCACTAGTTAAAAAAGTTCTTATTTTCTCTTAAATATCAAAAAAGTTCTATTAGAAAACAAAGCGTAAACAGCGATAGCAAAGCG